GAAGGATATAATCCCGACCTTGAAGAGCATCAAGATGTCAATGAGCTCAGATTATACGCTGGTAACTTTGTTAGACTGCCAACGAACCCTCCAGTTAATGACGCACCCGCCGGTTTCATGTGGGTGCAAAGAAGTCCATATTTTTTGAATGATGTTGAAACCCCCGGGGATATCGGCTTTGCACCACTGAAATGTTTAAAAAGAATTGTGAAGGACTCCCTCAGGGAAGCACACGATGCTGCTGGAGCAACTGCTGCCAATATTATCAGAAGAGTGGGCGTTGTATCAGATGACAAGGGTCTATGGCAAGAATTCGTAGTTCACCGTACCATCGAGCCGACCACGAAGATCAATGCAAGATACGCTAATCCAAATGATCCAGCAAAGAAATTTGTTGGAGGTTTCGAATTTGAGGATGGCGAATTTCTGCTTGACACACAAGAACCGCTCAAGAATCTATACCCTCGGATGATAAGAATGGACGGAACAAAAGGAAGAGTCAAACCTCGTAACCTTCAATTCTTGGAAAAAGCATGGAAGCTCCCCGACAGGCTTCCCATAGCAGTCTCGGGTACCAAAAAGAAACCAAACACTTCGATTACGCCTGGTAAACAAACATTATTAAATTCCTCCAATAAATCAGATCCCAAATACAGGTATAGACCAACTATGAAAGCAGATGATTTCAAAATAAAAGACCTAAGAAACCACTGCAAAGCTCGCGGCATGGTCACCAAAGATTATGGGAGAACGAAGGTCTCGATGTTGGCCAAGCTTGTCGAGCACGATGAAAAGAACAATAGTGCGGTCCAACCCGCGGGAGGTCAAGTGCCTAAGCCGGCTGAGTCTGGCCATTTCCTACCTATGAGACGCGTCCTAGTAGATATCGCAAAAGATGCTGGTCCACCTAAGATGCCCCCATTTTTTGCAACAGAGATAGTGGTGGAGTTAGGTAAAGGTGACGTCAACGATCCTGCAACTTGGATAATCGATTATGAAGGTCGAGTTGGCAGGATTGATGATGATAACCTTGAGCCAATAGATGGAGCCTGGGGTATTGAACTGGATCCAGTCAGGTGGAATCGAATTTTGAGTACTTTGAGAAAGGACTTGGGTTACGATAAACCCCCCAAACCTGCAGCTAAACCAGCCGCCAACCCTACCGCCAACCCTACCGCCAACCCTGCCGCCAACCCTGCAGCTAAACCAGTAGCTAAACCAGCAGCCAAACCAGCAGCTAAACCAGCAGCCAAACCAGCAGCTAAACCAGCAGCCAAACCAGCAGCCAACCCTGCAGCAAATCCTGTAGCAGTACCTGCCGCCAAACCTGCCGCCAAACCTGCTACCAAGCCCGCCGGTAAGAAAGTGGCTTTTGAAAATCTTCCACCTCCAGGCTCCGCAGCTCCAGGTGTTCCGGCTCCGAATTCCCTAGCTGGAAAGACGGTAGGAAAAAGACCTGCTTCTTCCTCTGCGGAGCCTGCCAACAAAAAGACAAAGAAGAAGAAGAAGTGAGTGGCAGCGGTAGCTGCAGCCAATACAACCAAGAACTATCGTTAGCTTCCGCTATTGGTGCCAACTCCGTGTCTACAGCCTCTCCACAAATACACTCGGGCGACATGGCCGGGTTCCTTCTTCGATCAATAAACCACGGGGTAGCTCTGAGAAGCCAACATGGGCTGGCTTTCATGGGAGGTAATCTGAGAATTGTGTTGGTTGTGTGTTGATATAGTGAGAATTTTTGAAATGCTAAAGTTTTGTATCTCATAGTCATATCTGATATTTGACCTGCAACTGTGCAGTGAATTTGATGATTGAAAAGGAATGAGATGTCAATGAGAACGCGTACGCCAGACACTGAGATGGAGGTCAATCGATTGAACTGCTTGAAAGGCTTTTGTTTCTGAACTTTCATTTACGTTTAGTCATGAAATAAAGATATGCAGACCTGTGTACATAGATGAGTATCAACTCTTTAGCAAAATAATAAGCTCATTGAGCTATGTAACAAAACAATTTGAAGCAGTGAATGACAAACTCAGGAGGTGAGGAGATACCTAGATCAGCACTCGGACCATCAACAAACAAAATCCAAGATCACCTGATATTTGATTAAACTTCTCGACTTGATATCCCATACTTCCTCTTCTGATCGTTCCCATCTCTGGTAATCATTCTTTCTCATAGCCTTCATGTCTTTGGTACAAGCAGAAGAGAGGCAATTCAAGCACACTCCATCCAGAAGTAACCCTGGACCTATCTGTTTTCTTCTGTCTATAGAGACGACTGCCTATTGAGATACCAACATTGATTTCGTTGATAATCGAGATCATGGAGATTGGCTTGGGTAACGGTCTATTCTTCTTGGTCAACTGAACAAGATTGGACTAATACTCACTGGAAGAAGTATACATATAACAATGTAAGCTAGAAATTCTACAAACCAATTGCAAATATCAAGTTCGGAATGTTTGAACATCATGACACGTACTCTCATCAAGGATTTTCAACCTTCCCTCGAAATATCTTAATATTTAATCATCAACTTCGAAAAAGTAATCAAATGCACAGCTCTTCGACTATTACAAAAAACGAGGTGCCTCAGTACCTACCATCAAGAGTCTACTTACACAGAGACCTCACTTGAGTCTAAAGAGCATATCTTTGATTTCAGATATCCTACTTCAAGTCTGAATCATCAAAGTAGCAGAAACCAAACCATATCCTCCAGATCTAATCATATCTTCAGAAGTATGGATGACCTCGACCTAAAAGTCGACATCATTCACTCGTCTTCTCTCACTTCAGTCTCAACCGCAGTACTTTACCTCCATAGTGGGGGACTTACAGGTTTGGATCGAGGAAATCTTCCTCCTCATATCGTTCAATCCTGTCTAGTTCGAGATTGACCTATTATTAGCCCAGATTATCGTCTCATTCCGCAAGCTAGTGCTCAAGACATGTTGGAAGATGTGATATCCGCATACTACTTTATACACAAAAGGCTCCTGGAGCTTCTTTACTTTAAGAGACTCGAAAATGAGAAAATAAACATCATTCTCATGGGTTCAAGCTCTGGTTTGTACTTCTAGGTTATCGATCGGCATGACTTGAAACTCTGGACTGAAGTTTCCTCGGTGCTTATCGATCATACATTGCCAAACCCCATCTCTCACCTCCACTATTTCTCAAGTAGCAAAACTCTTTTCAACGAAACGCCCTATCTCGAATCTCGATTCGCGCATTTCCTCACAAGCCCCCCACGCATCAACCCAACACCTTCTTTCTTCCCAATATTCAACTCATCCTCTCTTCTTCCGAACTTTTCTCGTGATCCTGCATACGAAACTTTGCCTGGGGGTGAATTTAAAGACCTTTCTTCATTCTTCTTATGGTTAGTTCAAGAGAACAAACTACTCGTGTTGTGAAGAGGCGCTGATCAAAGATTGAAAAGTGAGGTATGGAAAGGGTCTGGCAAGACAATTATCGTGCATGGAAATCAGGATGAATCAATTTCTTACTATATGGCAAAGCAAGCTGTCAATGTTATTGGTATAACACCTTTACAAAACGAATATGGATCTGTGCTGATTGTGTTTAGGACCACATGATGCTCAGATGTTTACTGCAATCGGCAGGAAGCATGATTGGGATATACCTTTGTTTCTTGAAGATCCAAGGTTAAAAGAAGTTGAAGATGCCTGGAAAGCTTTGGATGAAATCATTTTGGAAGCTCAGGAAGAACATTTGTCTTAAGAACAACTTCAATATTTCATATACGTCAATACAAAGCGGAGAGCAGTGTTTTTGTATGGAATAATTGGTATATTACAATTGAGGAGATGGATGTAAAATAAATTCTTGACGCTCAAATGATCACTCATTCATCTGGGCCACACAAGGTCTCCGTGACACAAAACTCTTATGCAACACAAAATATCACCTTGAATGGGTGATTTGGCAACACGCAAGCTTAGCAAGCACTTTTCAAATTCATCTACTTCAGCTAAGCTATCAACAACAGTTTTTCACACAACTAAAATCGACACTAAATGGACGAAGTGGCTCTCCAACCAACCATAACTACCATCGACGCTTCATTGGATCCCGTCATAAATACAGAAACACCCGAAGCAAGTAAGCCGCAAGGGTCCAGCAATCAGGATAGCAATTTTTAACGACTTCGACGCCTTCGACCTTGCACACGCTGATGAGGATCCTGTTGCAAACAAACTCATCACAACCGTATCATTTGTCTCTGTGTTGAACATCAGTGATGGCCAGTGTGAAGAGCGCTAGCCAGCGGCCATCGCCCGTATGACTACCTTCAAACTAGTCCTTCGTGAGTTTTTATGTTCTCATGACCTCGGCATTGAGTTCCTTGAGTCTTGAGAATTCCTTCTTAATGAGACTAGTGCGGCCTTAGCACCTTCTGGTGTTGTTCTGAGCACTTTCAATCTCCAACAGAGCAAGAATCGAAAGAGGGCAACAAATTAGTGAATTGGGATTGAGATCTTTGTCGGAGGCTGCGTGCTCTTTTTCAGTTTCTACTCTGTTAGAGGCTCATCGCTGGCAGTCGTAAGGATAGTTGGATTGAGATGCTCAGTGGGATTGCGATCAAGCGATCATTCAGAGAGGAAGTGCAGAATTCTCTTGGGAAAACGAAGTTGAAGATATCGTCTCCGTCGAAATTTGTACTGCTTCTTTTGACGTCCTGAGGGGCGGGGCACATGAAGTTCTGCAGTATCCCCACTTGTATGCGCTTTGTGTAAGAGGAGTGACAACACCTCCAACTCTCTGAATAGAAGCTCTTCCTTGATCTGGAGCAATGTCCCGTCAATGATAGGTTAATGACATATTTTAGCGGTCCAAAGTTTCATTGTAATTTGAATACATTTGACCAGCTTCTTGACGATAGCTGGCACTGTTCTCGCGACGACCGTTGCCTCAACGATATTTTTGCCCGGGCAAGGTCAGGTGGTGAGTGGAGAGGGCGCCACATATTATTGTTGTGAGCTGCCCTGCCCAGGGTATTTGCTGTTACCAGTGGTGTCGTAAGCAAAGTCGTGTAGCTGCTTCGCGAGGACCGCGACGGAGACCGAAGCCGTAACTCGATTATACTCCTCTTGGGTTGGAGACATTTGACCTCTCTTGTCGCGCTGAGTACGAGACTCCTCCATCGCTGCTAGCGAAACTTTCGAAAAATAATTCGTAAGCAAAGTCGTGTAGCTTCTTGGTCGTAGACTTGACCAATTGGGTACAACTGGGTACTATCCATGATTAGTACACTCGAAAATAATTGCGATGTTCTAAACCTACGAAAAGAGATTGAGCAGACAAAGGCGCAAATTCTGCGATCATTTGTGGGTTTCCGTTCGACTTGATGCACCCACGAGCAGAGGAGCCAGAAGTATTGGCAGCGGCATGTAGTCCTGGAATCTCCTTCTATCGATTAAATTCTCACGGAAAAGTCGTAGAAAACTGCTGCAAAAAGGTTAACAAATGTAGCACGAAAATGTTTCGCGTGAATTCGAGCTTTCTGGGAGTTCACCTACCAACAAAACAAAAACACAAGCATGATCACGACACTCACGATAATCACCACCATGACTGTGCACGCCGAGGCGGCTGAGGGGAATAAGATATATTGCTATCTAATAAACTAATATACAGAACTATGACAAAAAAATAGAGTATGCCAAGTTGCAATGTGACTTGGTCCCAACTCCCGCACACGTCGGATCTGTTGCTGAACCAAGTCGCACTGTAACTTGGCATACTCCTTGCATCGGGCTTGCAAGTTAAATGCCTCAATGGCTTGCTGGTGTTAATCGTGGTACCTCCGGAGCCTTAAAACTTTCTGGTTGATCCGCAGGAGATAGCTCTCGGTGTACGTGCGAACACCAGGCAAGATGCAATCGGTTATGTATATGTTTGCACCGCCATCTCCAACATCGCTGGTCTTGTTTGTGGAAGAAGCCCAAGTTCCCCATTGTATGCTCTCGCATGCCATTTGCCTCCCTGAAAGGGGTGTACATGTGTGCTGGTGTTGATCGTGGTGAAAGCTTAAGATCGTGGTGGAAGCTTAAGTTCGTGGTTCCAGGCTCTCGCATACCATCTTAGGTTCTCGAGGCCGGAACCCATGACCTTCGCATTCTTGGGGTCAAGCCCAAGAAGTCTGCAATATGATAGCATGCTGGTGTTGATCGTGGTAAAGCCTCAAGTTCGCTTCTAGGCTCTCGCATATCATCTTCAGCTTCGGAGTCCACCACCGTCTGGGATTTGAGAGAAGCTCTCTCGTTCCTGAGACGTGAGCGAGTATTGGTCGGCACCCCGGCTTGAATTTGCGAAAGATGAGCTGGATTATGCCAGGTTGATGATTTGGAAAGCTTGTGATTTGATGAGAAACCAGTCCATGGCTGCGAGCTATTGCAGCTACCGTGACAATCTCGCCAATTAGCTTGTGCGGTGCGGACTCCACTTCAAGGTTGAGCCAATTAAGCCCGTTCAACCCCATGGATTAGTCACTGGAGTAGCTTCATCTCGCAGTGTTGGTACTCAGCGTCTTACACAAAACTTTGGGCAGCTACTAGAAGAGTCAGAAATGGGTTTCTCATGACACCAAATGAATGACTTACAGTTCGAAAAACTTGAACCGCGAGGACTTCAAAGACTGCACCAACTGTGATCTTTCTAGGATCGTCGAAACAGCAGTGCACAGGTCAATATTGATCGTGGTCCACCCTCCCAAAAAGAAGACGAGAAACTCGGAAGACTGAAGATCGATCTGCAGAAAAGCGCCGTTAGCAAAGGTTCGAAAAGGATGATGGAAGGTCTCGACATACCGGAAGAATACTAACTTTGAGACCAGTACCTTGAATTTATTCCACCTCACAATCACAGCTCAGTGAATTCACATCGATAGAGGCACGTCCGGAGACGGCTAGAGAGAAAAAAGTTTATTGTTACGTAACGCTAATAGCTACTACACAGTCCATCACCACAATTTTCGTCCAAAGAAAACCACCACGTTGATTTCCCCCATGCTCTTTTGGTCATTATAATATCTGATGGTGAGGTTAGCCTTTACTCAAATTATGCCGCTTGTAAAAGGACAGCTTACTTGTTCAAGATGGGAGCAAGAACCATAATCAGTGCTACTTGAGTGCTGCTACTGAGGTTGAAGCGGCCCGGCTGGTTATCGAGTTGTTCCGGAGTTGACGTCCAAAAGTCATTCACAGACGGTGGCTGTTGTCTTGTGGTACAGTCGGTAGGTACTGAGTGTTGAGGGTCCGGCTGTATTTGCAATCTTCGACCACGAACACAGTCGTTGTTAAAGGTACAAGCCGGACCCCCAACACTCAGTTGGTACATGGAAAGTTACCTGAGCACCACTGTTTTCTAGGCTCTGTGTTCTTTCTCTGTTCTTGCTCGGTTGAATTTCTATCGCGCGATTGCGACCTCATTTTCTGCCGAAAGAGAGGTCAAACAGAGAAAGAAAACAGAGCCTAGAAATCAGCACAAGAAGGCATTTTCGAATAGGCCCCTAAATCTTGGAGTTCTAAGTTAGTCAGCTAGTTCTTCTGAAATGTGGGAGATGGATGTCACTTACACCTGATTGGACCACGCAGGCCACAACCTGGGTTGGGAGTAAACGATTGTTGGTTGCCAAGTTCTCATTTTTTGCTTTTTTATCGAGTTAGCAAAGATCGTACACGAGCATGGAGTTTTATTCACCTGGACTCGGAAGAGGAGTTCTAGCCTTTTGAGGTGGCTCAACCTCAGAATCGTTGGTACCGGGATCCTCCATTGTCTTCTGCTTGAATGTGTTAGTCTTGTCACGAAAATCAAGTTGAATCAAGTGGATCGAAAGAAGGAAGAAAGAAGTTGGACGGATGAGAAAAAAACTTACTTGAGGTGCCCCCCACCACACCACCACCATATCTCCCCACAGACTTCTTCGTCTCAGTCATCCGACGACCACTGATCAACTTATTTAGCAAGGACACATCTCAAAATCAACTCAAGGTGAGAAGAGAAGAGCAAAGAAAACTTACTTGAATCCCCCACCACCACACCACCACCATATTTCCCCAGACTTCTTTGCCTAATCAATTCTTGATCTACCAATGTAGAGTCAGCAAGCGACGGCTTTGTTTAAGCAGAAAGAAGAAACTTACCTGAAAGTCGCACAGCACGCGCCACCACTAAATTTCCCAGCAGACCTCCTCTTTCTATAAGCACTGTTCTCACTCTGAGCAACAGGCTGTAATTCAATGCCTCCGAGGCCCGAGGTCAAATTTGACATTTCAGGCTCAGAGAGCAGCATCTGATCACTTGAATCATCAGTCGCAAGTGACTGATGATTCTCATCAATGCGCTCAAAGCCTGTGAGCTAAGCTAGGCAGGAGTAGGAGCTGGTTCCCTCAAGACTTGTGATTGTTGATGAGTTCTGGCAACTGCAGGGAGCCAACTCCCACTCCGCCATGGCTTGTCATATAATTGCGTCATTTCAGTCCTCCAATTACCTGTGAATTCACATGGTTAGCAAATTTCTCAGCATGAATTGGGAGAGATGGGATGAACATACCTGCCAATAATCTTGGCACCACCTGCGGTGGGTAAGACCGAGGTTGGCCGCTCCAGTCGCGTTTTCTCATCTGCTCAAAGCTCTGGAGAAAATAGAGGGTTAGCATGTGATCACGTCCAGGTTGACGCGGCAGTCAAAGATGATGATGGTATGCAACAACTGTGAGTGGGGAAGATTTTATTTTCACATACCTTTTTGTATTTGTTTCACTTTGAGAGGTCAGGAACTTATGGATGCCCTGCCTCTCCGTGTTATTTTTGAAAGATTGGTTGATCATCGCTGAAGCAGAATTGATTGTTAGTAAGTTATTCTTTCGATCTCCATCAAGTATCCAATAGATGTAAGATGACAAGTGGATGCCGGTGATGAAATAAATTGGAAGCCTTCGATCTCACATACCTATTTGAACTGGTTTCGCATTGAGAGGACGGAGCCCATAGGGCAATCGAGTTAGATGGCGCCGTGCTCCATCCTCTCCATCATCTTTTGCATGGTAGGAGTCGAGAAGGCATCTCTGTAGAAGGATAGAAGAAGAAGAGGAGGAGGAGGAGGAAGAGAAAGAAGAGGAAGTTTTTGTTTGTTGTAATACTTTGTGGGAAACCTGAAATCACCAAAAGTGCAGCAGATCAAATAGAAGTCAAAAACGGCAGAATTCTCAATCTTCCCTAGCGTGGAAAAAGCAGATAAAAATCAGACCACCACCCTTGCTAAGCCTCTTCTGCCCTTGATTTATCATTGGATAGATCTGTTTCCGTACTAGTCTCTCGGATCCCATTTCCCTGCTTAAGCACTTCCCTTCTCATCTTCTCTCTTCCTTTCTTTTCTTTTCCTTTCCTCCCCAACCCATCAAGTACCATGGATCCTCATAGTGATATCCCCATTATTACTTCTTGAGCCTCACAGCATGTTACTTAATGCAGATCAAACTTGGATATCAATACACCCATAGCAGAGTTATTGCGCATGGGACGCAAAGTTGTTCAAACATAGTAGGGAAGTCACAGTTTCAAGTACCATTGATTCTTACAGTTGACGATCTTCCATATCTCTCTGTCTGAATCATCAGGTGTTGCTTGTTGCAGATTGAAGTGAACTTCAAAGTACTCAAGGCAGAGTCTATCTGTGAGGGGGTACACCCACGTTCATACATACAATACAAATCAATTTTTGTAGATTGGTTTGGAAAGGTTTGGCTGCTAGGAGACCTGGAGGATCAACGCGCTTTTAGTTTATCATTTGTATCTAAGTATAATTAATCATCATTAACTCTCTTGATATGTGTCATTCATTGCATCAATCCTATGTGTGATACTTAAAATAATAAAATTGATATCTCCCATACTTGCAGTATTCCCCAGTCCATACATGTACCACCCTCCCACCTTCAGCTTATCTCATCATTACACAGTCACAGCCTTGCTTGCACTCCCCCAGATGTTATTTCGCTCTCAGCCTCATGCACTGACAAACACTGCTTCTGTAAAAAAAGATTTTTTTAGAAGCATCAATCTTTTTAATTACCCACAAGACAATTCGAACTGTCTAGATACCTATTTTTGCATAAACAATTGAACTCAAGGCGGTCACTCGAGCCGAAAATCCCCTTAATAGCCAGTCCCGAAGTTCTCCCATTCCTTCACATTGTTGTTCATTCAGCGTCCACAATAATACCCACATACAAACATCTATTCTACCAGAAAAAAATCATTTGCTTTCACTGAATGTTATTCATATTCGCTATTACTTCAACTAATTTTAATTACACAGGAACCCGCTGATGTGCTCATGTGCCCGTGTGATTTTTTCTTGAACCCCGCGCAAAATGAACAAAATGCAAAGCAGCGCTGTCTCATTGACTTTGAGTCAATCCGCGCTGTAGACTAAGCTGTCATTATCTATCAGTGGCATACACGAAACGTCGAACAAAAATCATTGTAAACTCAGAAAACGCGACACGCCCAGCTGGAATCAATCGAGTCCCTCGTCTACAGACTCTATGAACTCCTCATCTATCCATCGAGTGTTGAATAATTCCATTGACTCTCTTGCGAAGCACTTTCTCCAAGTAATCTGTCAAATCCATAATTGGCATGTCTGATAAGCTGCACATGACTGCCCGGAACTCCCAGTCATCTTCATCAAAAGGTAGAGTCGTGTAATGCATCCACTTCATGGCAAATACCTGGAGTAAAATCATGCCCATTGGTCTGGTTCGTTCGCCGAAGCACTTTTTGGCTATGAACTTTAGATAGAGACGAGAAATCACATAAAGGGGAGTTTTTGTTTTGCCCTCTTGTATGTTTTTAGCGTAGTTACTGTAATGTTCGGGATGTTTTAATCTGTCAGCTCTGAGGTTTTGAGCGCTAATATCATGTATGAACTCCTCCAGCCATTCATGGACCCCCAGTTTGCATTGGCATCGGTTTGAGAGTCCAACATACCATTCTGTATCTCTCTTTGCATTTGAAGAGGCTAGGAATTGATTGAGCGTACAGAAAGTATATGGTGTGAGGCCATTTTGAGAATAAAGGTATTTGGAGATAAAGTACTTGAGCGCAGCGACGAAGACGTAAATTTGAGAGACTCTTATATCTATCTGCGGCGTTGGAGGAAGTTCTGTCACTGTTGAACAGCCTAAGAGGTGATTACAAGGGTCCTTAGCTGCCTCAATAGAACTTGAAGGTCCTGACTTATTCAATTTCTCATCAAGCATCAGACACATTGATATTTTGACTGCCTCAACGTCAATCGGGCGCTTATTGGTCGCGCAGAAAGACAGTGTCTCGGAATTGAGGTATTTCAAAACCTCGCCCTCGATAGGATAGTCATCAGCCCTGAAATATAAGAGTTTTCTGAGTCCTTCGATAGTGTATGACATTACACCTCTTGGTGTGAGGGATTGAAGATGATGCAAAGGAGTCTTTCCGAACATTTTATTATTTTCTCCCCAATATTTCCACAACATCTCAGATAGCTTGATGGTCTCAGAATGCTTATTTTCCTTTTTCCTGTTAGCAAATGAACCTTTTTGGAGGTTTCAACGAGGTTTATCCTCATACCAGTTGTATCCAAAGGAAGTCAGGTAACGACCACGCAGCATATTCAGCAATTTTCACTTCCATATTATACATATTCCGAAGTACCATCCTATTTTCTTCAACCTGATTATCCCATGATAGATCGAATGCGTCTTGATAGACCTTAGTACCTTGGTCGATGTTTCCCCCGCCAATTCCTTTCCCGAGGTCTCTCAACCTGGAATGAATTCGTCTGGAGTACTTTTTTCTATCGACATCTCCTCGGGCAACTTTTCTGCTAAGATCTCTTCCCCTGGAAGAACTTTCTCTGGCTTCCCTTTTCTCGGTATCTTGGAAGACCCTTGTCTCTTCACTCTCATCTCTAGACAAATCACAAAACCATCCAGGATCTTCCTGAATTTGAGGTTCGGAGGAGCAATCAACTGGCGGCGTCTTAACCTTCTTATCAGATTCATCCAGTTTTGCACCACAAGAAATTTCTGAGCACCCCTTTCCAAAATCTGCCATTACCTGGTATGTATCTGACATCGTGATAAGATATTAGATGCGAGGTTTATGAACACTACAGTTGCTTTCTATCGTATGTATATATTCGTTGTTGGAGCCGCTGTTACTGATACTGGAATCGAAGACTTGACAGATAGAGAATATCTTTTGGTGAGAATTTGGACTGTGGTTAAAGTATAGATAAATAATAAAGATTAAATACTAGTAATAAATGAAATTATACAATGGGCAATGAAAGATACGCGTGTATAAAGATGAAATAATTGATGGTCATTGAATGTGAGAAAGAGACGAAGAAACAGGATACATTGATAACAATCATTATTTCTAGTGCATCTCAGAACAGGAAGGTCATTTCAAATGGTAATAATTATTCCTGCTGTATTTGACAAATCTATTGTTCGTGAAACACTCCTACTTGCTGTTTGTGGAAATGGTCTGTAAAACTTCAGATTGAAAAGAGAAAGAACATCCAACGCCAACATGATTGTGATCCATGAAATATCAATAAGTCTTTCGAACCTTGTCAGAGCCTTCCAAATACTATCTCATGCAAAAAGAAAGTCTACTAAAATTCTACCTCAGGTTCTGGCACTCTAGGGACCGCTCGTACACCCAACGCATGTGTTATCATTCTTGAAGCGACAGTAATTGTCGTTTTGGGTCTTCTCGTTATAGGTTGGCTGGTTCTTGGCAAGATTGAGGTAGTAAGGCGTGCCTTCGAATTTTGTGTATTGAAGATAGGAGAGTACACCGCTCTAAGGCTATTCGAACTCGTAGATACACTGCTTCGGAATGATTTTATGATTTCGGCAGGATGTGGTCTCCTCGCTGAGGTTGACGTGGGTGATGAAACTCGTGACTGAGAATTGCTTAGTCGTCTTTTTGGGCTTGAAGTTGACCATGTGGCTCTGGGCTCCTGGTCGCTCTGCATTCTCAAATATAAATCTCTACTCTCCCTCTCGAGGTCTCTACTTTCTCTTCCGGAAACACTAGGCAAGTTACGATGTGCCACCGAACTTTCATAACTTTGAGGCTTGAAGAGTTCCACTGTCGTGTGTGGAGCTTTGCCGTCGCTACTGTCTTCGAATGGTATCGGGCTGCCTCCATTCGCTGAAACAGTCATTCTCCCTTCAGACTCCTCATGATTCTCAGAAGTCTCTCCAGACTTTATTTCTTCGCAACTGTGCCCAGATGTTTTCTTGTTCTCGAGGGTACTTGCGTCTTCGGTGGTAGCCTTCATTGTAATCGCTTCCGCTTTCTCCACCTGATCTTTACATATTTCTCTTGAACCTCCATCTCCAATAAGCAGATCCGGTGCACCCTTCTCAATTGTACTTGGTAGCTCGATTGAAACCGCGGCAACGATAACACCTCCCGAATTCTTCTTTTTTCTCCCTGAAAGAATCTCCCTGGCATCAACCTTCTTCTCGATGAGTGCTGGTGCACTAAAACCAACTATAACCCAATCGACTCTACCCCCAGGAAGAATATTTTTTTGCCACACTACTTTATTTCGTGTGGTATTTTCGGCCCGTTGTCGAGTTGGAAGACCGACATTGCACTGCTCTTGCTTTCCGTCCCGAGAAACTACGTCCTTGATGCTGGCTGCAGCGCATTAGTAAAGGTCTCCCGGGCTGAAGCCATTCTTACTTTGTGACATGTCTTTCGTCAATATTGATGTCCCTGGTTTTTCCGATTACTTGGGTGGCTGAGATGGCTTTTTTGGACCGCGAATTTATGGTTGAATTCTCGATCGACGATACGAATGTTGTATCAGAAATGCGCAACTTCGTATGAGGGATGAAAATTGAAGTATGGATAAAAATCACAGTCGCTTCAATGAATATATGTGCGACCCGAGGAGAGATATTTTCTCTTGTTTTTTACGAGAAAAATTGCAGAAAGGTGAATTTGAGACTTGTGTTTTGGATTTCGGATTCTGAGAGAATGTGAAGCACACGACTGGATCAAAATGGAAGGTGCTCCTAAACAAGAATAACTCGTTCCTTCTCGAAAATCTGTATGATAGGAGAAGTGATAAAGAGTCTTATCGTAAGAGAAATGTATTTGGTATGGGTTTAAATCGTAGTTTGCGAAGTTGCAGATGATGAATGAGGAAATGGTGTTTGGGAAGTCAGAAAAAGAAGCGATGGAAGAACTTCACCTAAAAGAAAATATACTTTAAACTCATCATAATGCTTTGTAGCTAATTCTATGATCTTAGTTAAGAGCCATGTATGCATTTAAAGAGCAGTTTGGTACCTTAATGATGAATTAATTGTAGATTGGACTTATCATGTGATTCCGTTTTGGTCATGTGATACGCGAAAGCACAAAGCCAATATCTTGAGCCATTATCTTGCTGCGTCAGTATGAACATTTAAAGTATTCTAAGCAATGAACCACGATAGGGACCGAAATAATTCAATATGACGTCTCAGATATCCTACAAATACTCAGTGCCCTCCCGACAGGCTGTTGACGCTCAACTGCAGAATCTCTCATACGTTCTTCCAGCGGGGTTAAGTTCATCGCAAAATATGAAATTTGGGGACTTAGAAGTGCACCTGTTGGGATAGTGAATAACAGAGGTTTAAGAAAAAGAGTGCATTTCAGGATTCTCGCGGTCATCATATTATAGAAGGGGAGGAACTGGCTTGCTTTGGATTCCAGACTTCTCCACTAGGGTTACTACAAAAAGTTGCCACAAAGGCGCTCAGTGACTAAAGTTGCGAAATGTTGTGTGGATCTGGAGTGCTTTGCCGTTCTTCGTCAAAATAACAAGTGTGCTTTTGGGTAAAAGGAGGTAGAGAGTAGGCGCATTGAAGGATGTTTCTAATTCTTGTGAAGTCCGATCTGTGGCTGTGAGGGTGGGGAGGACTCTAAGCTCCTAACACCGAGCAGATCTGTGACTTTTAGCATATTCGCGAATTGTTTTCCGGATTCTGGCAGATTGTGTTACTCTCGAGTGAGGGTGAGGCAATGGAAGACGGTTCACTCGTTCACTCTTGCAAGAATTGATGTTCTTGCTGTATTTTTTCGCAGCGGTGTCTAAGAGATGTAATTGAGCTTACCTTAGTCGGTCCCATCCATCAATCCATAACTGGTACTTTCATGGTTTTCCTGGTTTGCTTAGACATCAAGATGATGTTTAAGCTCGAGATATGATACTACCACCCACAGGTAGAGTTGGGAACGCGACTGATTCAAGCACGTTACATATTCAACGGATGATCGTGCATTCTGCAAGCTTTAATTGGTACACCGAATACTCAACAACGTAAGCCTTCTGGTATTAAAGCATGGATCATCTCGCTGCAATTCTAATTACCCAGATGAGAATATGAGATTCTGATAGGAAACCCCTTATTCGACAGCATATATCATTGCCACCTGCCTTTACACAAAGATCATCCTGCCAGTACGAATTCTTAATCTCGGTGCACTTGCGTCCGCGTGTTTTCTTTATGATACACGTCATCTTATTCAGTATTTTCCGCCCATATTGAGAATGCGCTTGCTCATGTGCTGGCCTCTGTCAACAACTCGCATACAGAGATCACATCTGATATCTATGCAACCATCCTTTACTGGAATGAGGAGCTCGAGAACGTTGCCTTTGAAGTATGCTCATCTTCCTAAATGTCAAATTCATGGTTGGCCTAACTAGCCCTATGTTGCCGAAGTCTCAGCCAACAATTGCTTGCCACCTTCCGTCCTCAACCGCTAACGGCTTTTTCCCAGTCTACCGGTACCGATCGCCACCCCGATATATTTGTTCCTTTGCCACTGATGAGCATAATGAAATTACTCTCTTGCCAATCTCGCCTCGATTCCCTACACACAAAATGCAACAGTCCTGGTAATACTCTACCCGGCGTTTCATTGTTGAACTTTCAAGTGAGGTGTGGCTCACAGACTACCTGAGACCTACCGTAGGTACCAGAGGAAAATGCTCTGAGCATCAGACGAAGGATCAACCACTCCTCAATTACCGACGGAATTACCGCCACAAACTAATCCCCGCGGCTCCGCCCTCTTTCCTCCCCTCAAAATTCGACGTCTTGTGACTGAACGAACTTGCGTTACATTCTCTGATGCACCTAATTGACAACAAGAGCCTCGATAGAAGCTACCAAGGTACATACCTGCATCCCCCACCTCGGAAACCCCCAGTCTTGCAGTGCCAAGCCCGAGGCCCGAGTACCCCATCACGGCGAACCCTACATCAAGTAGGTACGCTCGTACGTACATTCCCAGCGCTAACCATCACGTGTATGGTCATGCCACGAAGGTACATTCGGAGAAATCCCCCAAGCAAAAACTAGCAAGGAAAAATTAGATAGTAGGGAAAAAAGCAGGCAAGTCGTCCGGATAAACTTCTCAGGCTATTTATGTGTAGCCTTAACCTTAACATCCCTCCACTCCACTCTCCGTGCACCCCCGTCATCCCCTGGAGCATTTCCGTCGCGTACCCACACCACGCATCGAGAAAAAAACTTAGGTACAACCCCGGCCGGCAATCACCGCCATGGGGATGAAGAAACCAGGATGAGACTAGGGTGCAGATGAACGCAACCTTGTTACTTACACATTACCACGGTCAAATCGAGGGCTTGCAGACGAGAATTCCAGCAAAGTAACAGAATGGTTTCACAGAATATGTACCCCAGAAATGCCTCGTTTTTACATCGTGTTTGTGTCATTTGCGGATGTACGCTGGTTGTACAATATACAGAGAATGCGTTCCTGGGGAAATGCGGGGTACATATACACCACGTTACTAGCGTTTACTGGGTCTGTACGTTGTTCAATTTATTTTTCCGTCTTCCCTTCTTATCATTCAATTCTTCGTCAAGACGGACTATTCTGGGGGGTTGTTGGATTACTATTACGATTCCACCTCTTCTTTTAACAGCCAATCAATAGCCCGACAAATTCCCCATAAATAACCTTACTTTAACCTTAAGCTCCGAAGTTCGCTTTCATGCTTAACCTGCTCGTTGCCTGCTTGGTTTCTTCAAGGTTTATTTATACAAGCATTTCAACCTGTCAAATTTCTTTTGCTAAATTGTCCCCTCCACCTAAATGCGACGGAATGCAATGTACGATCTTAGTACTCCCTCGAACACACATTACATGTCTGACAATTCACGCCCCCATTCTTGCAGGAAATTCTCAACTTTGCGAGTCATTAGGTGTTAAAAGTGGCAGGTTATGATCGGCTTTGTCATATCATAGGATTCATTTCATCCAGTAAGAACTGTTACCAAAGTTTGGATATTGGCTTTTATGTGATAGAGATTAGAGACGTGACAACGCGTTACTTGGTGCTATATGCCTCGTGATTCTTCTGATGACATACGACGCATCATTTTACTATTTGTTATGCTAGATGAAGAAAGCGATGCTATGTTATTATGAAAACCGTACTTGCTAGTTCCCATCGGTATGTCTCATTCTTCCGAGCACTAATTGAGGAGTTTGTCGTCTCGCAAACAGCTCCCGAGAAGGAAATTCACAGATGTGCCCTTTAGTCTCTCCGAAGTACATGATATCATTGAGCTTGTTTGTATTCTCAATTTCATGTGGATCGACAGGGCGTAGTACTTCATATTGTCTAAAGGTTGTACCTTTATTTTGGCCCTAAAAACTTTTCCTGTCATGAGCTGATAGTAAAGGTTCCCATTCATCATAGTTATATTATCTGCGCCATCTTCTTCCTTAGTCGTCAGTTGATGATTGCGAAGATTGAAACATTCCCATGACATCCTAATCTCATATTGCCTCTAAGCGTTCTTCTCGCATGTTTACATGAAGAACAAAGCTAAGCAGGTGCAAGCTCTTCTCGACGCGTCTCGTATGGCCTAGATGGGATCAGTGGAAATTTGTATGATTCGTTCCCAGCTCTCCTGCTATTAATTGTAGGAAATATCCCAGTCTTATGTGCCCTATATTACAACCACTATCACTGCCGAAACCTGGGGATCTGCTAGTAACAAACGTGGTACAAAGAGATCGAACTTATATCCAACATGCCGATTCGTCAATGACATTCCCGCGCGTTTCGGATGTCAAGCCACAATATGTGTTGTGCCTCTTTTCGTCTTCGTAGAAGTCATCCATACCGACACGCGTTATGCTTGGCCTGAAAAATTTACTACTCTCGCGAGTATCAAATTTTTTTAGATTGCTGAAGGATATGAGCAGAGGGGTAAGGAATGATAGTGCCGGCTTGTGTGTAATTTCCTCATTCTCCCAGATCTTCGAGATCTACAAGATGGCCCCAACACCGACTATGCTTGCTGGCTCGGCAAGATAGTGCCTTGTAATAGGTATAGTTCAGGCTCACTGATGGCCCGGGCATCCCAGAAAACATTCTCCCCGGTCACTATTGCTAGAACTTTGTGGGTTTGGTGATACGCCACCCCCTCATTCTGTTGGGACGTTCGCATAATGCACGGCTGCTTTTTCTAGTTCGGCGTCCCGCTAGATGTTAAGTTTGGTTAGCTAAAAAAAAAATGTCCGATATTTGAAGGACCTAATGGAATGACTTCAGTGCAGAACATGCAAGGCTAGTCCCTAGTATTCAAAATTAAATTAACTCACAGTCAGGGGAGGAGGCTGGTATGCACCTAAAGCATCCTGACGTACTAAAAA